AATATTGTTTTGAAAAGTGAAATAAGAAAGATAAAGTTTTCGTATTTCGTTTTTTTTATTTCTTATTTCTTCCTACATACAGCTTTGTTAAAGTACAGAAGAAATAAATGCAAATATGCTACTTACACTGCAGTATTTACTTCTTTTCTTCCAAAGTAATTCTAAGAAACTATTAATGCTTGAAATTTTAAAAATAATTAGGAAAAATAGTAGGCTTTGAAAATTTAAATGTTTTTTCAAAAGATATGCAAAATCTTTACCACAAGTTGTGGGTGTTTTTGTTTTAGTTTAATTTTAGCATCAACTTTGGTTCGAATAATAGTGCATTTTTTTCTTATATTGTGTGTTTAGTTTTAATTATTTATAATTAACCCATAAATCTCATTAAATTATTTTCAAATATTTTTTGTTTTTTCTATGAATTTTTAAATGTTTCTTATTTTATTTTTTGTTAAAAATTAATGAGTTTTTAATTGTGAAGTTTGAATGTTATTTAAATAGCTATTATTTCATTATCTATGTTTTACATTTATTATATAAAAAAAATAAAGCAATAATAAAAGAGTCAATTTATTATAGATAATTTAACAAATATAAATTATTATTAAAAAATGGGGGTCACAAAAAATTATGAAATAATTGGTGGGCCACGAGTATAAAAGGGTTAAGAACCACTGCAGTATATGAGTATATGCAATTTGTGGAATCACTTATAGAGCAGTTACAAACTTTAGGTGAAGATGTTGAAGACTCTAAGATTGCTTCAACAGCTCTTTAAGGATTACTATAGTCTTACATCAGTACTGTTAGAAGCTTTGATGCAAATAACCTGTTCAAGATAAATTACAGCATGTTCTTATTCAAGAAGGGCAAAGAAAAATTAACAATAATCATATCAAAAAGGCATTTTGAACCAAACATAACTTCAGATATAATTTCAAGATGAAGGAAATAATATGTTACAACTGGGTATTTTGCTAGAGAATCCTGTTTTAGATCATCAAGTAGTCAATATGAGAAAACCAATAAGAGTAACATACAAGGTATAAAAGTGAATAACAGTTAACCAAAACCTGGAACCCAGAAAGCCAAGGTTGCTATAGCTAATGACAGCATTGGTAAGGAGGAATGTCATATAACCTTTCAAGCTGTTTTAATATCGCCAGTAGTGAAGAAACATGGGGCATTGACTTAGGTGAAGTAGTTAAATTACCAGTAGGAGGAAGTATTTACAAAACTTTAAAGATGATGATATGTCTAGTAGGTGTAATCACCTTAATTGATGGAAGAGAAATAAAAGAAGGAAGAGATACAATTTTCTTTAAACCTCAAAAGGGTTTAGGGATCAGAGAAATAAAGGCAAAAGGATTCATTTATGTGCCAGAGTTGTCACAATCTGTCAGTTGCCCGATTATGCTGAGCAAAGCTAAAGGATGAAATCACCTTTATTAGTGTGAAGAAATGAGGAATATATGTAATGGATATCTCTGCAATCAAAAATGATGAAAAGGTGGCAGTGGTTCGGGCTATTGACTTGAGGCTATGGCATCAAAAACTCAGTCATGTGAGTAGTGACATCGTAAAACAGATGCATAAGAATCAAGCTGTCGGGGATTGAATTTACTAATGTCCGAAAACAATTGAACCTGTGAAGAAGGCATTTTGGGAAAACATGCCAGAAGATCCTTTACTGAACAGAATATGAGAAGAAATAGGAAAATCTTAGAACTTTTACATATGGACTTATATAGGCCATCACAAGTGGCATCCTTAGGTGGGATAAACACGTTTTAGTAATCATAGATGATTATAGCAGGAAAATGGTTGTAAAATTTTTGAAATATAAAGATGAAGTTTGTAAGGAACTTAAGACATTTATTTACCAGTAGAAATGCAGACAGAATTCTTTACTTTCTTGTAAAGAAAATTCAGACTAATTATGGTACTGAATTTGTGAATGATTGTTTGGGAGATTTTTTTAATAAGAAAGATATAGTGCATGAAAGGATGATCCTCTTTTCACTGCAACAAAATGGAGTTGCAGAAAGGTCTAGTCACTTTCTTATGGATGCAGCTAGAACTATTTTTAACAATGCTGGCTTACTGCCTGAGTTTTGGGCAAAAGCAATGCTTATTAGTTAGAAATCATTGCACTAGAAAAATACTTGGTGACAAACAACCATAGGAGTTATGGAATAGACAGAAACTTTCCATTTTCTTATTTTAGGAGATTTGGTTGTCTAGTGCATGCATGGATACTGAAACAATGCAGAAAAAAATTGGATGATAAAAAGTAAACCAATGATATTTGTGAGAAAAGATAGAAAGGGTTTTTGTCTCTATGATCTCATTAAAAAGAGAATATCTTTTAGAGATCTAAAATTTTTGAATGACAGAAATGGATGTGATCTTTTGGATGGGGAGACATCACACAAGGAGCTGGTATATGCATGAATTTTTAACTGCTGACCCTCATTTAGAGACATTGGAAAATGAAGATCTAGCAGAGATTGAAGTAAACAAAAAGCAAGATGGTTATTGCATATTAGAAGAGAACCTGATCGACTAGCAGTGATCACATCTTAGGAAATGTACTGTAATCAAATCCAAGATATCATAGAACCAAAAGACTACAATGAAGCCATTAACAATTCTCAGCAATCTCTGTGGGTAGAAGCTATGGATGAAGAGTTATTATTCCATTTTCAGATGAAAACAAGGAATTTCATAAGTAGGACACCTGATATGAAAGTGTTAGTCTAAATGGGTATTTAAAGTTAAGACAGAAGAGAAGAAACAGGAATCAAGATTTAAGGCAAGATTAGTTGCAATGGGATGTGGACAAGAATGTGGAATTGATAGTTTGGTTCATACTCCTCAGTAATGAAGTTAACGAGTTTAAGAACGATTCTAGTATATACAGTAGAGCATCAATTATTCAAAACAATTCGAGACTGGGGTTGTTCGGATGTCTGATCATTTATGAAAAAATATATTAATCTATCTATGTAACAGTATGACAAAAACGGGCACTAGAAGTGCCCTAACGATGATTTTAAATTAACAATAAATTATTTTTATTTGTAATATGAATTTATTATTTATACCATGGAATGGTATAAATAATTATATGCCTTGATTAACCTTGCGCTGCATGTTTACATCATCCCGTGATTCAGTGAACGTCGCGCATTGACTCACAGGAAATTTGTTGAAAAAATGGCGGATACAGGTAACCCCCATATAACACGGCACTTCTATAGCACGGATTCACTCTAACACGGTTCGAGAATTGGTACCATCCCCCGTATAACACGGTACTTTTATAGCACGGATTTACTCTGACACGGTTCGAGAATTGGGTAAAACCCTCGTACAACAGGAAATGTAATAAATTTTTACATACTTAAGTAATAATAGTTCACGAAAATTATTATTTTCGTGAACTATTAGTACTTAAGTATGTAAATTTNCAGAACATCTTATTTATTTGGAAGACATACATTCTAACCATGAAACCTGTGATTGACCCAAATTATCTCTTTTCAAGATGGGTCCAAATTAAACAAGCCACCTTAGTAAGCTGCTAGAAACATTATTTTACTAACAGAATATTAAAGAAAGACCCAGAATTGAATCAGGAAAAGCCAATTTAATAAACATTCTAATATTTTATTCTATTTAGTTGATATCAATGAAAAACAACTTACATTTTAGGTGTTAACAAATACTTTTCTTATATAATTGCAATAATTCTCCACCCTATAAAACAATAGAAAATTTAACATTTTAAAAATGTAACAGTAATAACACTGTACTTGCAGTAGTTATAGTAGTAGTAAACATAAATTTACAAATATTTAGCTCAATTTATTGTTATTTCTATTTCATAATAATGCAAATAATATAGATTATCTACTATATAAAAGTGAAAAACTTGGCATATTGCAGTATGCCAAAAATGGCCACTATGAGTGCCCCTAGCTATTATTTAAATTAACAATAAATTCAGTATATTATTATTTGATGCGGTTTCTTGCATTTTTGGCTGTGTTTTAGTAGGGTATGCCATGAGAAATTCAGTATATTATTATTATTATTTTTAATAGGAATTTATTATTTATGCCACAAAATGACACCGCTGCTGCTAGAATGCCCACTAGGGGCGTCCCGGGCTACTAGAATAGAAGGATTAGAAGTACGAAATAATCTTAATCTTTATTATTGTTTTTTGCCCGGGCAACGCCAGGCTCATCTTGTTAGGTGTATTAAGTTCACGAGTTGGATGTCACGCCAACTTATGTCAGTCAAAACTTCTTCTTCCAAGAACGTCAGTCTATGAGGCGTTAAATATACTTGAAATTATTTTAATTTAAGAGTGCTTTCGTAAATTAAAATAATTTCAAGTATATTTAATGCCTCATAGACTGACGTTCTTGGAAGAAGAAGTTTTGATTGACATAAGTTGGCGTGACATCCAACTCGTGAACTTAATACACCTAACAAGATGAGCCTGGCGTTGCCCGGGCAAAAAACAATAATAAAGATTAAGATTATTTCGTACTTCTAATCCTTCTATTCTAGTAGCCCGGGACGCCCCTAGTGGGCATTCTAGCAGCAGCGGTGTCATTTTGTGGCATAAATAATAAATTCCTATTAAAAATAATAATAATAATATACTGAATTTCTCATGGCATACCCTACTAAAACACAGCCAAAAATGCAAGAAACCGCATCAAATAATAATATACTGAATTTATTGTTAATTTAAATAATAGCTAGGGGCACTCATAGTGGCCATTTTTGGCATACTGCAATATGCCAAGTTTTTCACTTTTATATAGTAGATAATCTATATTATTTGCATTATTATGAAATAGAAATAACAATAAATTGAGCTAAATATTTGTAAATTTATGTTTACTACTACTATAACTACTGCAAGTACAGTGTTATTACTGTTACATTTTTAAAATGTTAAATTTTCTATTGTTTTATAGGGTGGAGAATTATTGCAATTATATAAGAAAAGTATTTGTTAACACCTAAAATGTAAGTTGTTTTTCATTGATATCAACTAAATAGAATAAAATATTAGAATGTTTATTAAATTGGCTTTTCCTGATTCAATTCTGGGTCTTTCTTTAATATTCTGTTAGTAAAATAATGTTTCTAACAGCTTACTAAGGTGGCTTGTTTAATTTGGACCCATCTTGAAAAGAGATAATTTGGGTCAATCACAGGTTTCATGGTTAGAATGTATGTCTTCCAAATAAATAAGATGTTCTGATCGATACACTGATGGCATACCCTTGCATCTGACCACAATGGCATACAATTATGATCCAATACTCTTTTAACTAGTTCCATAGTAAACTTACCATGCAAGATATCATCTTGGTACTCAGATAATCTATACATTTGAGCATTCTAGATGTAGCTCTTTGTAAGAAAACCCAGATAATATCAAACCATGTTTTAAGGGAATTTTCTAGATTCCTATATTTGCACAGAACATAACATTCTATGTAAGAAAGTTTGCAATTTTATAGGGAGTATATACCCATATTTTCTGAAGATAGGCAAGGTGTAACAAAACATGTCCCTAAGAGCTGTAGAGCATATCAATAGGAACAAAAAAGTCAAAGGAACCATGCCTCATGGGAATTTGTAAAGAAAGCCCACTAGGNAGTTCCATAGTAAACTTACCATGCAAGATATCATCTTGGTACTCAGATAATCTATACATTTGAGCATTCTAGATGTAGCTCTTTGTAAGAAAACCCAGATAATATCAAACCATGTTTTAAGGAAATTTTCTAGATTCCTATATTTGCACAGAACATAACATTCTATGTAAGAAAGTTTGCAATTTTATAGGGAGTATATACCCATATTTTCTGAATATAGGCAAGGTGTAACAAAACATGTCCCTAATAGCAGATAGTTTTCTACATGAACTCTATATGCCCTACATTCATCTTTATAGCTATAGTAGAAACAGTGAAAGCAGTCAGACTTTGGATGATTGAACTTTGTTAAAGTGTAACTTGCTTTTTTTAACTGTAGAAAGAACATACTCCAATTCTATATCCATCAAGTGCTGCGAGGAGGAATATAAATACTGATAATGTTAATTATTATGGCACAGAGCTATGTTATTATAATGAGGTGGTTGGAAGGATGCCAAAGAAATTACCATAGGAATTGAGTTGTACTTGTGGTACGAGGATCATTCAATAAGTCCTTAGTAAAAGATAGAAAAACAAATTATTTTAGTTAGATTTTTTTTTTATTTTTCAACATAATCTCCTTTAAGCTCTATACACTTTTCCAAGCGTTTTTCCAACTTTTTTAAACCATCTAAAAAGTAAGATTTTGGAAGGTCCTTAAAATAGGCATTTGTTTGGGTGATGACCATCTCATTTGACGTGAATCGTTGTCCACCAAGCCATTTTTTTAAGTTTGGAAATAAAAAAGTCACTGGGGGCCAAATCCGGTGGATGTGGTAATAATTTGAACTTTAATTCCATGATTTTGGCCATCGAAACTGCACAGGTGTGCACCCGTGCATTGTCTTGATGGAAGAGGATTTTTTTTTTCAAATGAGGACGTTTTTCTTTGATTTCTTTGCTCAACTGGTGCAATAACGATGCATAATACTCTCCAGTTATTGTTTTTCCTTTTTCCAAGTAATCGGTGTAGATGATTCTGCGTGTATCCCAAAAAACCGTGGCCATCATCTTCCCGGCCGATTTCACTGTCTTTGCCTTCTTTGGAGCCCTTTTGCCTTCAAAAACCCACTGTTTTGACTGTTCTTTGGTCTCTGGAGTATAATAGTGTATCCATGTTTCATCCACAGTTATGTATCGATGCAGAAACTTGTCAGGATTGCGACAAAAAAGTGCCAAAATAGCCTCAGAGTCGACCACACGATTACGTTTATTCTCCACTGAGAGCAAACACGGCACCCATCTTGCCGAGATTTTTTTCACACCCAATTTTTTGTGCAAAATTGAAAACACTGTACCTTGTGATATGCCTGTGGCCTCAACTATTTCATGCACTTTGATTCGTCAATCACTCAAAACCATATCGTGGATTTTGTCAATCATTTCAGGAGTAGTCACTTCCACCATAGGTTTCTAGATAGGTTTTATAAAAAGTAGAGCAGAATTTTTCAAAATGTAGCCTAAATTAAAGTAGCCCAAAAAGTAGTAACTTGCCCAAATATCTCAATCTGCTACTTGTAGTCCAATCTTCAATCCTGAAACCCAGCCATATTTTATGAAATAAGAGAAAAAAATAATAATCCATATATACAAAGTTGTATTGACCAGATTACAGTTGTTCTTGGTCTATTGTTTTCTTATAGTATGGAGGCACTTCGATCTAAGTGAATGAGTTAACATATGCATATCTCAGTTTGCACAGAATTTTTGCTTTGAATTACAAAGGAGTCGTATTTTGAATTAACCAAATTCCTTAATTTGTAAATCTCTATATACCCAGCTGAGACAAAAGTATAGTTATGAACTAATGGGATTTCTAACTATCTGAGTTTGAATTAACGAGGATTTCTTTTGTGTGCAAACCATGTACACACACACATATATATATAGTTTCTTAGTTTCTTTTGTATTATTTATATATAATGAAGTAAATATTATAACTTGTTTTGGTGAATTATAAAATGTTTTTATAATTACATAAAGTATATTTTACATACATTTAATAATATAATTGTTTGTTTATTATACAGATTATAATGAGTGATGATTCTATTCACCGCCTTGAAAGTATATCTAACCAAGCAGGTGGATTAATCATTAAGAAGAAAAATACTGATGATGCTGACACTTTTAAAGTTCCAAGAAAATCTCTTCTTGGTTTAGATGTGTTAGCTGCGAAAAAGAGGAAAGAACTACAGGAGCAAGAACAAAAACATTCAAAGATTTTATCTTATAAGGATGATTGGGAAGATGTTGAAGATGATGACGAAAATGAAAATTCAAGAAAAAATATTTCCCGTGATAGGTAGGTAGAAAATTTTTCAATATTGATATAAATTAAAAAATGATCAAAAACATCCATGTTTAAAAAGTCCAGAGAACATATATTAAAATAGGGAGATATATTCTGCTAAATGCAACACATTATGCTAATGCATTAGCATAGTGTGTTGCATTTAGCAGAATATTTGAGGTGAACACCTGCAGTAATTAGAAGGAGACATACAGTAAATAAGGACACATTTTTGTCTATATTATTTATGTCTGTTACCCTGAAATTAAATACAGTTGTTGAGGGAAGCAATGGGATATAAACACTTTGCTGAACTGCTGGATTAATCGTTTCACCATGCCTAAGGTAATAGTGCAAGAAATTCGTGAACTTGTAATTAGCCATTGAGAGGATGGCAAGTCCATAACAGAAATAGCTGAATGCCTGTGCATTTCGACATGAAGTGTATTGCACATTTTAAAGCTGCACCGGGACACTGAGTCAGTGTCACCTGGATACTTGTCTGGCCGACCGCACCTGATGAGCCTCGCTCAAGACGAGTGACTCGGGCAGAAAGCCAGGTGAGTCCACCACGCCAACCCTCAGATCTGCAGTTAATTTCAACGTGTCTGTAGACACAGTAAAGTGGAGGTTAGTAATATTTGTAATATAATATGTTAACCTTCCAACAAAATATATTTCTATCTCCAAGTATTTGAAAATATTTCCTTTCCACTCAAAAATAAAATATGAATAAAGGTTTACAGCTTTGTGAAACTTTTTTTTGAGTTTATGCCTTGAATTAAATAAATAAAAAAAATTTTTTTAAATTTTTTGGTTTTGTTTATATGTTTATTAGGCCGCATGCCGTGGGTTGGACACTACTGATTTAGAGTTTATTATAATACACTAGTAAGGCAAAGCTTCCATTAATACTGATGAGAGGTTATCACAATATATTGGGGTATCCTTTTCTAAATGTCATTCAAATTGCATCTCTTCCAATAACTTACATAACCTTGCTTCTTTCATGACTTCACAGGCAGCAATAAACTCTGATTTGCGAGTTGAAAGACTTATGCTACATTGCTTCATTGATTTCCAGCTTATTATCTCTCAAGCTAATCTAAACATATAATCAGTTAGAGATTTTCCATTATATGTCCTTGAATTCCAACTTGCATCAGCAAGCCCATGCAACTTGTCTTCACAGTTTTTATAATGGAAACTTAACTCTTTTGTACTCTGCAAATACCTTAGTATATGCTGTTCAATGTGTTCAATTATAAAATTTATCTAACTGGCTGAGATAGTGTATGCTGAATGCTATATCAGAATGAGTTCCTCAAGCTAAATACCTCAGCACACCAATTAAACTTCTATACATCACATCAATACTCCTGTCCTCACTGCTTTCTAATCAAATATTCTGATCCATGGACAATTTTACTGTATTATAATTTTCCATATTATATTATTGGAGTAACTTTTAAATGTACTTTGTTTGATCTAATATAATCTGATTCTATTTACTGTTTTCTCACTCTTATTCCAAGTATATTTCATACCTCTCCTATATCTTTCAGTTGGATCCTTTTACGTAGTACGATCCAAAAGTTTGGGGACTTTGCTTAAAATTCCTTACCTTAAAAAGTTTATATTGCCGATGCACAACCACCTTCAAAGTAATCATCTTGGGCAACAATACACTTTTGCCAGCGCTCATATAACTTCTGGAAGCCATTTTTTGAAACCTCCTGTAAGGTCTCCTGCGATGCTTCTCTCAGCTCATCTGATGACACAAAATGGTGTCCCTGCAAATGCTTTTTCATTAATGGAAACAAATAAAAATTACACGGGGCTAAGTCCGGTGAATAGGCGGAATGTGGAAGCACATTAATTTGAGATTTGGCGAGAAACAGTGTGACCATTTGGGACCGATGTGCAGGTGCGTTGTCATGCAGAAGGTACCAGATCTGCGGCCATTTACGACAAATGGATTCTCACAAATGACGTAAAATGTCTAGATAATTGAGAGACCAACTCAACATTTTCCTCGTTCCGTGAAGTCGAAGGTCGGCCAGAGTGTTCATCATCTGCGATGGATTCTCGGCCTTCTTTAAACCTTTGATTTCACCATTGTAGAATCACCGTACACCTTTCTTAGCAATTTTAAAGTCTTCATAGATGTTTTACCTAAACGCTGACAAAATTTAATGTTGCAGCGCTGTTCTTGAAACTCCATTTTTATTACGTCTGAAAACAAAGGTAACTATCTCCGAAAAAAAAACAACAGCACTCGCGGTTTAATCATGTGACAAGGGCGAAATCAACCTGAACACGTAGGGGTGGTTTGATAAAATCCATTTCATACGCTGTAACTTTAAATACATGCTTTTGTTGTCATACATTACTGCAGTCCCCGAACTTTTGGATCGTACCACATATGTAATTCTTTTATTGTGGAACTTAAGACCATGTCATATGATGTCAAAAGTATATCATCTATATCAGGGGTGTCCAACCTTTTTGTTTCTCTGGGCCACATTGGAAGATGTCATGGATTTTTGGGCCACAAGTATATTATATATACTTCTGGTCCAATCCTTAAATATACAAGTATATTTAAGGATTAACATGTGATAAACAGATTATAGTGAGCACCAAAATTTTGGCAAAATGCTGAATAATGCAAATTTTTGTAGGACATAGTGGAGAATTTCATAATTCGGACTGTCAGTTTTCAAGCAAAATTGCTTATGGAAGAAATACATTTGATGGTTTAGTAATCACAAGAGAGAATATTAATAAGTATTAAATCTTTATCATGAAAAAGGATATTTTAAAGAATTATTTCTACAGACATTTTCAATTTTTACTTAGAAATAGATAAATTCATTTATTATAAAGGAGACAAAAAATTTATTTGAAAAACAAAATATTTGTTTTATTTGGGTCTCTTATTAATAAAAAAAATGATAAAACACCATTTTAAAGTGNCAGACATTTTCAATTTTTACTTAGAAATAGATAAATTCATTTATTATAAAGGAGACAAAAAATTTATTTGAAAAACAAAATATTTGTTTTATTTGGGTCTCTTATTAATAAAAAAAATGATAAAACACCATTTTAAAGTGCATTTTTATTCGACTGATATATTTATAAACAATATGTTGCCCAAAAAGTAGCCAATGCACCAAATGAGATTTTTTACGCTAAACCTAAAAAAGGGTAGCCAACTTTAGTGCAAAGTAGCCAAATCATGCAATGCTGGAAGAAATACTAAATAAAGCTGGAGTTGGGACTCAAAGGATTATAATGCGGGAAAAGGAGAGACAGGACAAAAGATAAGAAGTGAGGAAGATTGGAAAATTAAGGGTCAATATTTGCATAACAGAAAGTCTATTTAACCCGAGCAGTCAAGGTGTCAGCCTACTGCTCTGGGGGACCCAGGATTGAATCTGGACAGGTTGAGGAATCCCCAGGAATTTTTCGGTGGTGGTCTGTTCGGATATGTCTGGCTCTGTCCCTCACCACCCGGTAGCCCCATTGTGGGTCTGGCCGAACCCATAATGGGCCTGCTATAAGAGGCCCTCTTAGTGCCCACAGGGCAGAAAGAGTATTATAAAAAAACTACTTTTTCTCTTTTGACCTTTCTCTCCTTTCCCGAATTTGGGTCTGTAATTCTTTGAGTCTCAACTTTAGCTTTATTTAATATTCCTTCCTCATTCACACATTTCGAAGTATTTGAAAATATTTCCTTTCCAATCAAAAATAAAATATGTATAAAGGTTTATAGCAGGGGTGGCCAACATGAGGCCTGCGGGCCGCATGCGGCCCACCTGGAGTCATGTTGCGGCCCGCGGAGCTAGGCCAAATGAACATAAATGTTAACTTTATTGTACATATCACCAAAAGAACATTACATCATGAGTTATTTGTATCATGTATTTTTAAATTATAGCTAAGAGAAATTTGAAATATTTCTCATTTTTGGAAAAATTTATAGATTTTTAGCTATTTCAAATATCCCGCTATTTGACACTCGAGGTTACTTAGTTTTTTGTCCGACGCTAGATGTTGATAAAATTTAATATGAGACTTCAACTTCAGCTATATATGTTCTGTGGTCTTCGGCGTTTTTGGGAAGCTCACAATGCTATCGGGCTCATACTCACAACTACTTTCAGTCCAGCTTGACAAAGTTCCGTGTTATTCTGTAGTTTTGTTTTATAATCGCCAATGCATCTGGAGATATTTTGCAATCGACATTAAAATACATATTTAACATATTTATAATTACAGTTCAAACTACTTTAACCAAGTAGCCTGTCTACCAAATCGATTCTATAAGTAAGTAAACCCTAAAACGTTGGAGAAATTCCATCAAGTTGATTTGGAAGAGTTCTATGAAACATATTTGGACAAGGATAAATATCCTGTGTTTTACAAATATGTTCTGTCGATGGTTTCGCTATGTGAAAACACTTGTGTGTGTGAACAGCTTTTTAGTTGCATGAAGTACATCAAATCACAAGTGAGATCGAATTACTGATGTTCATTTGGAAAACTGTTTGCGTGGAGATCAATTTTGATCACTTAGTTCTGTAAAACAAAGTCAGATCTCACTTTTAAATATTTTTAAATTGTCTAATTAATATATTTGATTCTCGGTTATATTTTATTTTCTTAAAAAAAAAAAATAAATATACCTATTTTTTGTGTTTTTTTACATTAAACCAAGCAAGTGTTTGACCACGATATCACCTACTGGGAAGTGACGATGTGGTTGAAGCTGTAGCACGCTTGCTTGTTTACTTTAATTTAAAAAAAAATTAGGTGCGTGGCCCGGCAGGAAATATTATTTCTGAAATTTGGTCCGCCTTCTGAAAAGGTTGGCCACCCTGGTTTATAGCTTTGTGAAATTTCTTTTATTGAGTTTATGCCGTTGAAATAAATAAATAAAACAAAATAAAATAATTTGTCGGTTTTGTTTACATGTTTATTGGGCCGCATTGGAACTTGCCTTGGGCCATGGGTTGGACACCCCTGATCTATATAGTGTATACTCTGAGAAAGTACTGTCACTTGAAATAAACACAACTCAGTGCTGAGCAAAATTCTTGTCTATCAGTTGATCGATTGCACATGGGCTGAAGTCAATTACCTGCAGCATCAGGATGTTCTACGTCTCATGAAAGGCATTTGAAATGGACTGGCTCAATTTGCTCCATAATAGCGGTGGGGAAAATTGATCCGGAGGGTCTCAAACATGCTGCAGGTTGACGTTACTAATTGCTCATTGCTTGTTTAACACTGCATGCATAGTGTTGACCGTTTTTATTTTAAAATCATAAAATTGCGGCCACTGATTATCAGAAATTATGATTTTATCTGTTATTTTCATACTTTTCTTTCTTTACAACATTTTATTTACATTTATTTTCCTGTAATTAGAGACGATACAGCTTTAAAATAAACAGATCAGGTTTCACTTGCCAATAGATTATCTCAACTTTCATTGATTGTCGTCGGTTCCTTTTGTAATCAGAGAGGAATAGATCGTGTTTCAAAGTACAGTGTTAAGTGTTTATTGTTTTGCGGTAATCTGAGTAGAGCGGGAGAAGTCACTTAATAAACCACCAAGTGTTTTATTACTGTTTAAACAACTGCTCACCACTTGTTATTCTTAGTAACTAGAGACCAGTAAGATCTAAGATCGTCTGTCAAGGTCAGTTAAAGTTTATTACTTTTGCAACAGGGTGTCATGTGAGCTGCCACCCACTCCCCACTGTTAACAACAACAAAACGTGCTAAGTGTCTTAATACTTTGTGAACAAAACCCCCTTCCCTGTCAAAAGTGGGTTGAATGTCAAGGTTACTGCATAATTGTATTGAACAGAATGTTGTCCTTGATATTTAACAATCAGTTTTTTCAGAACTGTTTAATAATACACTTGTATAAAGTTACGAATTAAAATTGCAATGCACATTTCGTTGTTTCATAAAATATTTATTGATTATACAGAGTTCAAGTTCGTAGAAATGTTTTCATATCTCTTCTTCATCATTATATATATANAACAATCAGTTTTTTCAGAACTGTTTAATAATACACTTGTATAAAGTTACGAATTAAAATTGCAATGCACATTTCGTTGTTTCATAAAATATTTATTGATTATACAGAGTTCAAGTTCGTAGAAATGTTTTCATATCTCTTCTTCATCATTATATATATATATTTATATTAATAAAATATATTGCCAGTTTACAAACAGATCTTTTTGTACTCAATTATGTTTTCATTATATCGATCATATATTCATATTATATTCGAATCGACCTTTTATATTTTGTAAATATTCACATATCACATGCTATATCATTCGTTTAATTCTATACTACTTATGTAATAACTATTTTTATATCATTTATTTTCCTTTTATATGTTTTTAATTATTTTTTAAAGCTAATGTGACCTAATCTACGAATGGCAGCTTTCCGTAGAATTTCTACGGGAAAGTCATCATTGCAGACATGAAGTTGCCTCTAAAGTTGTTTATCCGGGAAAGATGCCATTCAGGAACCATTTTCAACGTACTCCCCTTTTTGCAAACTCACCACTGTATTACTTACTGATTACATTTTGCAAGTTGAGAGACAAAACACGACATGTATTGGTTTGTTATTATTCAATAAAACATTGGTAAATTTCCTTGAACATGATTTGTTAAAAGGTGTTAGTCACATGTTGTTCTACTTGCTTGATTGGGCATTCTTGTTGGTCACACCCTCCATAAAGTGTATTGGCCATGAATCATTATTGACCTATATCAGAAGTACAAATCAGAGATAACAAATATATATCTAAACGACCAATCTGCCAGCAATGCACGTTACTGTCAAGTAACAGTTATAATAACTGTTATAACGTTTAATTGTGCAACGTTTTTGTTACTTATTAGAAAAACACACAGATTAGAAATGAGTAAACACACATTTATAATTCAAATTACAATTCATTAACAGAGCATAGCAGTTAATCACAATATGGATGAATCATTAACAGAACATAGAAATTAAGCAACATTTTGATGATTCATTAACAGACCATCGTAACGGTGTTAAAAACCTGTTCAAAAAACAAAAAAAAAAAAAACAGTGTTAGCATCTGCTAACACAAAACAAAAAAATGCAGATGGAGGGGAGAGGTTTAGAACCTCGACCACAACCCAACTCTTTCCACGACCTCATTCAGTTGCTCAGGTATGCTTGCCACAAGAATGTGAGAAAGCATGCTTTCGCGAAGCTTCTCCCAATGAACAGAGATGATGTCCCAAAGTTCGTTGGGATTGGCTGCCTGAATGGGGTTGCGGCAGAGTGTAACCCAAAGATGTTTTATTGGGTTGAGGTCTGCACCTCTCCCCGGCTATCCCAAATCCATTATCTGTGGATGGTCTGCCAGCCACTGAGAGACAATGCGTGCTGTGCACACAGGGGAGCAGTCAGGAATGAAGAAAAAAATGCTCATTGCCCTAGATGGCCCTTACCGTCGGCAGTAATACCTGATCCAAAAACCCCAAAAAACGCATGGTGGTGAGGTGACCGTCTACATGGACCAACTCCCAGGGATGTGCAACACTTATCCATCTCCAGACACCTGTAAACAGAAAAAGCAGATAAGTTGTCATGTTCAAAGAGGTAATGACATGTATACACGAAAACACCACATTAAAAACACTCACCTAGCAAAAAACAACTGCTTCTTTGGGTCAAAATGTATACTATAGTTACAAATAAATAAATGTTTATCAATCACTGAGTGATTTCTCAATAGTGTGTGATAAGTTCTAGCAACAGCTATTTACAGTGCTCAGATAATTAGTCAGTAAAATAAATTATCATCATTAAGTTTTGTTTTTAAGTGTTAACAAAATTAATTATTATAATTTATAATATTGTAGGCATTACCGATCTTCAAGAATTGAGACACCTTCTCATCCAGGTGGGGTCAGCAAAGAGTATCAGATGAGATTGCATCAGCGTCAAGATAGAGATCGAGAAAGAGGAGTATATGCATCTTCTAAAAAAGACAAGACTAGAGATTCTAATAAAAACAGATATAAAGGTAGAAAATGCATTTTAATTAATATCTGTATTTAATTTTCATGAATTTGAGATTGTTGTTGTTATATTTTGTTATAGAAGAGGGAGAATCTAGATATCACAAAGGGAGAGAAAGAGAGAGATCGCCAAGATCAGAAAGATATGGAGAAAGATCAAGTCGTTACTGGGATGAAAGTCCGAGAAGAAGAGAGGAACCTCCTACTCCCAGTATACAACTTAAAGGTAATTTCATTTAAATAAAGGAAGTACATTGCAAATGTGAACAAGCTAATATTTATAATTCATATAAATTTCTCAACTTATTTTTTAATATCTTATTATTTCTTATATTTATACATCACACTAATTACATTAGAATGGTATTTCAATAGTTTCTGTATTTTTCTACTTTTTTACATAAGTGACTGTATACAATCAAACTTCTATATTAAAGTTTTATATTATGAATTTTTTGTGAAATACTGAGAATGTCTTTTTTACATTTAAAAGTGTTCCTATTTAACAAAGTTTAAATTTTATATACTAAACTTTTGAATGCCAGATGAGAGTACCTTACTTTTTTATATTGATAAATGTTGACTTATTTTAGTAACTATCATCTTCAGATTGTCATTATCGCAAGATACAATATCTGAAGGCAATTGTAATGCACTTCCAAGGATGACAAAACATCTGTTTCAAATAGCAATGTTTCTGATACATTTAAAACTAAAAAATGGCTTTCATCAGCAAGAAAATATTTCATTTGGAAATTTGGAAAATAAAGTTGGAAGCATTTAAAGTAAAATAAGTTTTGGCTTAAAAAAGTCTGTATTTTTTTTTTGTCTGCTTTTTTTAACATAAATATTTAAGAATGCTTCTTATTTCAATTATAATATTTTTTTCTCAGTTTCAATAAAAATAATGTCTCTCTAGTTTGATTTTTCTTATAAAATGTATGTGACAGCAAATAAAATCTTATGCACTTAATGAATCATCAAATGCCTCTCATTGCTGAGAAATGTTTATTAAAATGAAACACTAACGTTTTCAACCTAATAGAATATGCAATCTTCAGGTGTAACTGAATTCAAATGTATTTTTAAAAATTTAACATTCTAATGACAGAACTTCCAAACATTTAAATTTAAAATGAAAATATTAGATAAATTAACAAATAAATAAAATAAACTATATAAAATAAACTAAAACAATAACGATATAAATCAGTGGTTCTCAACTGGGATCCATGTAACATTATGTGGGGGGTCAACAAAAAAATACAAGGGTCATGGTGATATTTTAGTGGTCTATAGGAGAATTCTATTTCAGAATAATTGCTTTACTGAGAATTAAATTTCTACAGTATATATATTGTCAATTTCTTTATTACTCATTTCTTGCATAAGTGTTAAAATATAAATTATTTAAAATATCAAATATGTATAGGACATATACATCTCATTGACAAAGGTCAAAGAGATTATAAAGCCAGGGTTTGTTAGGAGAATCTTATACCATCAGCATTATGTCACTTGTCAGTGACATTTCTGAATGTTTTCCTTACTTTTTTTATTATTGAAAAGTATAAGTTTTTTTTCTGTGCAATGTCTATGGTGGTCCACAAAAAAATTAAGAGGAAAAAGGGTCCATGGGTAAAAAAGTTGAGAACCACTGATATAAATAATATAGTAAAATAAATAAAATAAAATACATAAAAATGCATCCAATTATAAGGGCAGGTACAGACTAAGAATTTTTAATTTTTCTTCTATGTAGAATTTCCATGCAGAAGCTAGTCCATTTAATCTCTGGCATTGATACAACCATCCTTTAAATTACTTTTATAGATTTCAATGGTTTCTTTGTTTATTGCTAACGATGGGAACAGATGGCCCTGAGGATAGTCACCTCATTCCATTTAACTACAGATTCCTCTGCTTGTGACATACTTTGTCAAGTATGGCACAAGCAGAGGACTCTGTATTTAACTCTTAATTGATTAATTCTTAATGAAAATTAACATGTAGCTATTTGAAGGCCACTTGCCTGTATATAATTGTTGATTTGATTTAGTAGGCTTAAATAGCCTGTTATATCAAAAATAAAATGTAACAAATCTCATAAAAATATAGATGATAAATGAATTCTTTTGATATCTATTATGATTTATTCGTTGTTTTTTAAGTAAGATATATTTGTAAAAACCATTAAGTGAAATATTTAAATATACTAAAACTATTTTTAATTTACAGATACACCATCCAGATGTACTTGGGATGATGATGATCCAACTCCATCGCGCTTTTCAACTTGGGATTTACCCACGCCTAATCCACGTAAAGATGACGATCATATAAGTTATTCAGAGAAAAGGTAAATAATATGAACTGAAATGTCATATATTTACATTCAGTTTTTATATTAAGCAAATAAGTTGTTCAATTATATTGAATGAATTATACAGATCCTGTAAAGTCAATAATAATATCTTTTGCTTATAGTTATAATTTCTCTCTATTAATTAACTAAATGCATCGAATATGGATTTTTGGTTATGAGTTAATTCAAAAATGATAAAGAAGTAAATCTTAGTAAAAATAAAAAATTAAGCAAAAACATAAATATGTAAATTGCATTCAGTTATGAAAGTAAGCAATTGCATTTTAAGGAATTAAAGTATGGAGGCTCTAACCAATGGGAAACAATAGCTATAACAATGGTTTCTGTTAAATGAGCACTGAATTTTTGTGAGATAAACATGATTATTTCTAGACAAATAAAAATAAGAGATAATATTCAGAAACGTTACGTAATCTAAATATATGTATATTATGATTGGATATTTAAGTACATTATTTTATATATAAAAGACGTTTTTCTGGAAATTCTTTCATTCTTAATTGTGATTTAGAATCTTTTATTTAAAATAATTATCATCATCATGTTTTTATTAAGTGAAAATAATGTATCCATTGACTAATTTCTTTTTCTTAATTTTACAAATAAATGTATATAAATTTTTATTTTGCAAATAAATTTAAAAATTATGATTTGTTTGTTATGGATTAGATTCAGAAATTCTGGTGAGGACACCCCAAGATTTACACCTGTTCATAAATATAATGCATGGGCAAATGATAGAAGGAAAATGGGTGCTACTCCATCAGAAAGCAGCAGGAAAGGTAAAATTATAAACATTAACTTACTCTCTATTGAGCATTAGCAAATTCTTTCCTATGTCGCTTATAGAATAGAGTTTGTTCTCAAAATTTGATTGGTTGATTTTAAGTAAACTTCATCATTTCACAAAATAAGAGATAAGGAAATTAAAAATATAATGAAAATTGGAGGTCCATGATTTTGTTTTTTGATACAGTGGTGTTAAAGTGACAATATCCAATGTTGCTAACATGAGCATGTGAAAGTTTATTTGATTTTATGCCAGTAGTAATGGTATTGCCACAATAGCAGCAAGTGATTGTCATAGATGGTCTTTAAAATAGTATTACTGACTTACTAACACTTTGACTCAATTCTTAGCTTGTATTCATATAGAAAATAAATTGTGCCTAGTTTATTCACAACTTGACACTATATACAAATATTATATTCACAAATAATTTATTATTAATGAATTTTAATTGATTTATTTATTACAACATTGATTTATATTTATTATTTATAATTATAATAATTAAATGTTATGGAATGTAATTTCAATACTAATATAGTTATTGAAAGTAGCTAGTAAGCTGGAAAGCATTGAGATAGCTAACAAAACAACCTCTCAAAACTTAAGTTAAAGCAAGTAAAAAAGGGGAAATTAATTATAGCTAAATACAACTATAAATAAAAATTCTCATAGTACTTTATGCAAAAGTACAGCAATGATTATCATAAGTTAATGTTAGAACAAAGACTGAAAAAAAAAAGTTCAAAACCTCAATATTAGTGCAGAAATTTAGGTTTCAGACTTTAATACCTAATATTATCCTACAGAGTGTTTAATTCTTCTGCATAATTTCAAATCGTGGACATTGTTGAAAATGGAAAAAAGCTACTTGTTCAAAAACAAGTAACTTTTGTTTTATTCTATTCAAGTGAAATGTTAGTAATGACTTAAAAAAATAAAGTGTAGAATGAACTTGAAAAATTTCATTACAAGAATATGAAAAAAGTTAATAAGATAAATTAAATATGCTATAGAAAAGGAGAGAGTTCCAAAATAACTTTTGAAAATTTTAGAAGAAAAATATCAGACAAGTAAATAAAACAATGAGTTATCAAACTTTCACAATGGTCAAAAGTTCAAAATGCAAGAAATCTGAATAAAATTTGCTCTGATTATGACTTATGAGATGACCTAATGTCTTCAAAACACAAGATATAAAGTAAAAGATTGTTATCATCTAGAATTTTATTGAATAATGACTGAAGCTTTAATTTATAATACTTATAATAATAATAATTAATATATAATTTATTTATTTATTAACTACACATAACTACAGCTTTTGAGTTGCCATAAAACTAAGCTTTAAATGCTCTTATAAAATATTTTATTATGCAACATATCAGGATTTTTGTAATATTAACTTATGATGAAGTAGTTGTTACTGATAATCAAAACTACTAATTAGCAATATGAATATTACAAGTATTGCATAATTTATAATTTTATATACTGTACATATATTGAAACTATAAAAAGCATATATAATAATTATTAAAATCAAATAATTACCATATTATATTGGGGTTTATAATCCAGTAATTGTTTGGTTTGGATGTTTATATTTATAATAATTATTATAGATAGATTACCTTGGGGATCTGAAGAGGATAGGTTTGAATGGGAAGAAGAACAGAAAAGATTGGATAGAGAATGGTATTCAATGGATGAAGGCTATGATGATATACACAATCCATTTTCTGGACTTTCAACAGAATATGCTAAAAAGAAAGAAGAAATGTTGGAGCAAAAAAGAAAAAAACGAATGTCTGCTCAACAAAGACAGATTAACAAGGTTTGTTGAAAAATCATTAAATAGAATAATTTATTTTCTTTTTATTATATTTTTTAAATCAGGTCTTTTAAAACAAGGAAAAGAAATTGAAAAATGTTTGTTTATTGTATTTTTTTTACTTCTATTTGCATAGCTCAATGTTTTCTTAGAAATTGCCCTTAAGGGACTGTTTTATTCAATGTTTTTTGAATTGTTCCTTAAAAATTAAAAAAATAACATACTTTATACTTAATTTTTAATTAAATATCAGAAATAAATATTTACTTATTTCTTGTGTGTGTATGTGTATATGTTATTGGCAAAGTATGAAAAGCCAGCATTCTATAGAATACCTAGGCATTGTATATAATGCCCGGCATTTTTAGGCAGTGTATGAAATATGAGAATTATTACATACTTTCCCTAGGCATTGTATATAATACCTAGGCATTCTATAGAATGACAAATGCTATTTAGGCAAAGCATGAAAAAACGTCCTGATAAGGTTGTTATATAAATGACGTGCATTCCTCAAAAATACAAATGTTATTCTGAAAAAATAATAAGAGTGCCATTAAAAACAATTTATTCAAAATACGTAAAGAAAAATGAAAGTTGTACAAAACAAAATTTATGCCTTTCTTATTAAGGGAAACAAAATTTTTGTATAAAAAATAAGATATTAAAATTAACCTACTTGTTACAACATGGTAGGCTTGAATGACATTTTGAATTACATTTCATTACATTTTTCATGCAAAGACATTTCATATTTTGGCACTTTGTTTTACACATACATTTGACAAATCCTTGGCCACTTCCACTGGACTGAGCAATTGCAACTGACCAGAGAGGAATTTCATGGTCAGGAATATCTTCAACTCTAAGCAAGTTCTTAGGGCGTGAAGTGAATTGTGATTTTGCATATACTTGCTTTAAAATTCCTTCAGAAGTTCCAAGTCAGTAGAAACCATCCTCTCACACTCATTACAACTGCCAATATATTGCGCGAATCACCTCGCCCCTTGTCGATGTCAGGAATGGGAACTCGCACAGTAGTTCCCAAAGAAGCAGTGGGAAATTTTTTTTCTGAATTCATTTTCATTTTTTTGGCTTGTATTTCCAGATTGATTTTAGAATTTATTTTACCTTCAATAGCATTTTCAGTTTTGAAACAAAGGGTGCACAAAATATCCATTTCATCATCTATACTGGAATGGCCACAGAAGGTATGAATTTTTTTATGACATTTTTTGCATGCAAGTGCATCACTAGTTTCCTTTAAACACACACAACAGGTATCAGAAACGGAAATCTTTTCGGTAAGCATGTCTTCATCATGTTGGTTTAATCCACTAATGACTATAATCTCATCCATGTTTTTTAAAACACGCTCTTTTTCTTGCATAATCTCATTAGTTTCACCTTTTTTCCATTGTTTTGACACTTTCTATTACGTTTCCTAGCTGCTGCTCTGTATTTATGTCTTTTAAAATATCTTCTGATAGAAAAGACAATGTAATCCCTACTTTAGGTTTGCAGCCAAAAAGAGCTTCGTACGACGTTCTTTTGATCCCAGAATGATAAGCTCTATTTTTCATAGATTGAACAAAACGTAGTCCTTTACTCCAGCAGTCAGATTCGTTTCCTGCATCCAAGTACAGAGCATATTTTCGATATCTTGATTAGCTCTTTCAACACTACCCTGGCTTTGTGAATGGCGAGGCATCCCATGGACAATCTTCAGTGCTGGCCAAAACTCCTTCAAGCTGGTCACCACATTATTGGCAAATTCCCTACCATTGTCAGACTATAATATAGATGGCACTCCAAGCAACAAGAATATGTCCACTAGGTTGTAGGCTCCTTCTTCAGCTCTTTTTGATGTTAGAGACTTAAGAATCACAAATTTTGTGAGATGATCTTGGTATACCATAATAAATTTGTATTCTCTATCTGGCTGAGACTGAAAGTCAATAAGATCTACCTGACAATGGGAATTAAATTTGGAAAAAATCATAGGTTTCACAACAATGCCCTTTTTAATACCTTTCTGTTTTTTCTGGCAAGGTTCACAAAGGTGGATGTACAGTTCAATATCATGACGTGTAATGTTCTTGTATTTGGTTGAAAGTTCTTTCAACATTCTATCACATCCTCCATGTCCAATAGCCAAATGAACTTCATGAAGTAAGTGAAATAACTCTGAGTCCATGACGTAATACTGTATAGAACTGATGCCTTCTTTAACAGGATAAATGAGTTTACTTTTGTTTTCTACATCATAGCGATTCAGCAACCAATAGTCACTGGGTTCATTCATAGTAGTCATTTTGGCTTTTTGTGCATCATTTATTAACTTCTGGTAAGTAGTTTCGGTTAAGAAAATACTGTTTTTTGCAGCATTAACTCGAATTTTGGACAGTTCATCATCGAATCATCGTTTCATGTCTATAGACCATGACACCTTCTCCATCACTACAGCTTGCTCCTCCATTTTCATGGAGCACAGTAAAAATTTAATTTTTTGTTGAACAAATTTAAGTAAAATTGTGTATTTTGACACTCCCAAACAAACCGCAAAGTGCAACTGACAAATTCTAAGCCTGAGGCGCGTGTTAAAAGTCACATGCCTTGCAATGTGATATTCAAAACAAAACGGAGATGCATTTCATACTTTGCCGGTTTCTCATTTGGCATCATTTCATAGGTTGCCGGCTAGTTTTAGGCATTATATATATATATTGCCTAAAACTAGCCGGCAATCTATGAAACGATCATTATCTTTTGTCTGTAACATTACTTATATTTTTGTTTGTTATTCCCAGTATTTTTTTCACCTAAAGCAGTGTTTCTCAACGGAGGTGATATCGACCCCATGTGGGCGTTTTTCCATGTTGAGGGGCGATTAGTAACAATTTATCTTTTGGGGGCAAAAAAACAATTTTCTGGGCGATATAGTAAAACATTATATTAAGAATAATTAGATATTTTATTCGTTATATCGTACAATGATTAAACAAATAACATTATACTAGTCACTAGTCTATTCAATGCAGTACGAATTTGACATTAGCCTTGTCCCTCAGCATCGAAATTTTGTAGTGAAGGGGGCGATACTACGTAACGGTTTTATTGAAGGGGGCGATACTACGTTGAAGGGGGCGACGATTCGTTAGAGGTTGAGAAACATTGACCTAAAGCTAATATTTGTTCTTAAGAAATCTGTTTTTTTTCCTTGAGATGCTATTAACCCTAATTGAGAAATACTATTACATAATATATTAAATCAAAAGTTTCATGCAAAGTTTTGATAATTCAGAACAAATCTAAGAATGAATATTCTATAGTATTATTACAATTAGTGGCAACTATTATTTGAGGTTTAAAGTGCAGCTATATTTTTCAGAAATGTTTATTTTAAAAATGTTTTTATGCAAAAGGAATCTCCAAACAATTGTCATTTTCAACAATGGTCTCAGCTGCTAAAAGTTTTATTTCTAACTTCTCAATTACAGCCACTGCTCTCAAAAATGTCATACAGAAAGTAATAACCCACTGTATAAAATTAGTCATCATTAATAAGATGGCTAGTTTGGCTTTATACTTAGTTAATAAATTTGACTGTAAATTTAGAAAGTGAATATTTCTTTAAGCATCTAGGACTTGTACAAAAATTTTTTGATTGTTTAAAATGTAATAAAGTTCTTAAACATACAACCAACTTCTAAAAACACACATAAATCAGTAGTAAAAATGTATTGAAGAGTACAAAAAAAATTTTGTCTTTACAATCTGTCACTTTATGGCCATCATTGACAAACCAAAAATAAAAAACACCTAAAGAGATTACCTTATTTGAGGCTACACCTCTGTAAAAAATGTAAATTGGTTAAAAAAGACTTCTGGTGATCATATAAATTAAAACAAACACTTAAATGTCGCCAGAAAACATTTAATCAATTTGTGTTTTTTTACGGAGGTATAGTCTCAAATAAACAGATGTTTATGTAGGGGAAGATTTCTTTTTGATTTGTTAACAGTGACTGAAATATCAGATCATGAAGACAAATTTTGTTTGTATTTTTCATTATATATTTTACTGTGTAGATAACCATCAGCAATTTTTTAATGACACACAAATCAAGCTCTTTTTTTTTTTTTTAACATATTTTAACATAGGTCATAGTGTAGAATGGGTGATTAATCTGTGTATGGTTTTAAGAGTTCTCTGAACCAAATTAGAGAAGGGCTTCTGTACAAAAATTTTCTTTGTGATTTTCTACGATGTAAAAAATAACAAATTAAGTTTTCTTCCAATTTATATGACTTGTTTGATTATCAGCTTACTTCACAACAACAATTGCTTTTACATTTCATCAATTGGCCAAAATTTAGAGGTTTGACTGTACTTTGAAAAAAGCTATTGTTTGAATTATTTATAATAATAATATAGATTATATAATATATATTTATATTTACATATAATGATACATAATTACAGATTTTGAGTTTAAAATTAAACTTAACCTTTTCATAAAATAAAAATTAGAATATTTTATTTTGTAGTTTTAATTAATTGATTGATTAATGGAATTTATTTTATTTATGTAGAAGAATCTTTTCAGTTAATATATAGAAAAGAAAATAGATTTATATATATAAATGTATTTTTTTTTCCTATCATGTATAGTCATTTTTTTTATTAAGTTTTATATTTAAAATGACAGGACAATGAAAAGTGGGAAACCAATAGAATGCTTACAAGTGGTGTTGTACAGCGGTTAGAAGTAGATGAAGATTTTGATGAAGATAATGAAGCTAGAGTACATTTACTTGTACATAATATTGTACCTCCATTCCTTGATGGAAGAATTGTCTTCACAAAACAACCAGAACCTGTTATTCCTGTAAAAGTAAGTTTAAATAAAGTCTTTTAAGAAAGATACAGTTTATTTTTAGTAATTTGTTTGATTATTGCAATTTTTGTAGGATCCCTCATCAGATATGGCCATAATATCTCGTAAAGGCAGTGCCATTGTTAAATTTCATAGAGAACAAAAGGAACGGAAAAAAGCACAGAAGAAAGAGTGGGAATTGGCTGGTACTAGAATAGGAGAAATAATGGGAATCAAAAAGAAAGAAGAATCGGTAAGTAATACTATATGATATAAATTAGTATAGTTTTAAGCTTTTTACATTAATCTTAAAAATGCAAGTTTGTAATGAAGTTTGACTAATGTAATGTTTAATGGGAATAAATATATTTTAGGTAGCTACATTTTATTGAGTAGATGAACTAGAATTTAAGAGTAAAATTTTTATCTAAAGAAACAAAAAGTTATCATTGATTTTATTACTTTTTTCCTTTCTAATTGAAGATTTCATGATATACTGCAGTTGTATGCAGCTTCACAAATCTAGGAATCTTCAGGCTTTATTTCAGGAATATAAAACTGTTTCATTGAAATTTACATATCAGTTTTGAGATACAACTGGTATAATATATAGGCAATTGTATAGGACCAACACCCCAAATTTGACAATTATAGAATTCTTCTTTGGGAATACATCAAGGACTAAATACAGTAGAATCTCATTCCTAGGAAGTTAAAGATGATGTATTCTGATAAATTTTTCTTCATTTTAAGTGAAATAGAATAATATTTTAAATTAAATTGATTTTTAAAGCATTTTTAACATCAAAATGTTTTCTAATATAATCCTGGTTCTCACAATTGTATTATTCTACTTTTGTTTATTTTGTCAATTGAAGTATTGGAAATGTATTCATTTGTTCTTTGACACACTATAGTTCTGCTATGTCATTGTAATTAATATAAATTATTTATTAATATATTTAATCTCTTGCTATTTTTTAAACATGAAATTTTAAAATTAGGTATTTATTGTTTTAAAAAACATATTTTGAAAACATTTCACAGATTTAGCTAATTTTTAAAAAATAATGTTTAGTAATTAATTTAAATCATTCTTGTAATAGTATAAAAAAATTGTGCTTTATTCATTACTGTGCTAGGAGAATGTAATACTTTCATTTATTTAGAAGAAAGGATACAATGAATGTAAATGAAGATTTAGCTGAATACAATAAGTGTTTTAAGTTTTAATTATATAGTATACTCCACTTAGGTAAGTCTCTAAGAGATTACAATAAGGTGATAACAATGTTTGAAGTAAATATAAAGTTATAATTAGAGTAAATTCCAGTTTCATTGACTAACATAAAAAAATTATAATGCATAACCTAAACAGTTAAAAATATTTAGTTTATGCTGTGGGGTAAAATAACATCAATTCAAGTTGAATGTAGGTTATGTAATAAATTGCATTTTGTTTATTGTTGATTTCTTCTTTATACTATATATGTTATCAATCTTAATTTAATATGGTACTTTGCACTGTTGAATGCTTTCTGGCAACATAGGTTATGCAATTTCCATGGTCACTATTGTATATATCTAAAATAATGAAATTTATAATTTATAACAATGTCTTATATATACATATATATATATTTTAATGCAGGATGAGAAAATGAATGAAGATGGAGAAACAGATTATAAAGTTGATCATAAATTTGCCAAACATATGAAAAATGCAGGAGAGGCAACAAGTGACTTTGCAAAAAAGAAAACAATTACTCAGCAACGACAATATCTTCCAATATTTGCAGTGCGTGAAGAACTGCTGAATATAGTTAGAGAGAATAGTATTGTGATTATAGTAGGAGAAACTGGATCTGGAAAGACAACTCAGTTAACACAGGTGAGTAATAATTTATTAAGTATATTGTTAAACTTGATAATAATACTTGGCTTTTTTGTGAAAAATATAGTTGTCAGAATTGAAAATAACAACCAATTAAACAGGATTTCTTGTATGACCCTTTAACACAGGTCAACAGTGGTTTTGGTGCCCAGGTATTTTGAGCTGATTTCATATGAATTTGATGTCCTGAATTCAAATATGGCTCTAGTTTTTAAGATATAGCATTTTAGCGAAATATACATTTCAATATCTTAAGTTAAATCCATGGATCAAGTAAAAAACTAAACACGGAATTTTTATTATTATATTATGCAAATATTATTCTATACAAAGATAGAGGAAAAAGTCATCAATAAAACTAAACAGTTACACATTGAGGAAGCTTCATTTCAGTGACTTTTGTGAATGTATTTTGGAGCAATCCAGTAATCTGCCATCATATGCGTATCCCATCTTCCTTGTTAGCGGTCCTCCATAGTTTTAATATCCTGGTGAAATCTTTCACCTTGTTCTTCACTGGTGTCTCCTAAATTTTCAGGAAAACAGTCTAAGTGACTGTGTAAATAGTGCACCTTAATACTCATATTACATCCAGGGAATTTGAAACTGTTAAGCATCTCATTTACCAGTTCAACATAATTTTCAGCTTTGCATTTGCCTAGAAAATTTCTGACAACTGCAACAAATGAAGTCCAGGCTTTTTGCTCAGCTTCATTCATCGAATTGACGAAGGCAAGATCATTAATGAGTTGTCTTATTTGTGGACCGTCAAATATTCCTGCTTTAATTTTTTCTATACTTAACTGAGGCATAAGAATTTTAGAAAGGCTTAGGTGGGGCATAGCACAAAAAAAGGTTGGGAAACACTGATCTAGACACTGCACGGCTAGAACTTACAAACTTACCTCAACTCTAGTTGAAGCATTGAACGTCAATTTGTTACCGAATGCTTACTTTATTTGGTGGATTTATCTGGAACTAACTGGACGGCAGACTAACAATGGGGAAAATATACAGGAATCAATTCTTGCATATATGATTTAGAACTGCACATTTCATGTAGCACTGTACGTTAAAAAAACACAGATCTAAAAAAGTAGAGCTGATAGAGAAAAACTGATTTCATATTTGGATTCAGTATAGCTAAATATAGCTAAAATCAGTTCTAAAATCCTAGGCACCAAAAAAAAATTTTTTTTGTAGGCTTGTGTAATCAATATAATTTAAACAATTTTCCTTACATAATTTTAATCATAACTTTATTTCAATAAGTAATGTTAAGTTATGATTTTTCACATCATTGAAAGACATTTAAATTATGTTGTCTTATTTATACATTTTAAAGAAATTTACAATGTATTGTATCTACAATTTGAATTTAACTTGTATGGTACTTACATTTTATGATTATTATTTTTGAGGGAAAAAATGGAAATTGTAGCAAAATATAGTTTTCATAAAAAAGTTTGTACTGGCTTGTAAGAATCTAGCATTTCTGTTAATGATATGCATTTCAAATACATATGAAATATGGTTGGACTTATGTTGAAATTTAAATGAAGTTATACATTCTGGCTAAATGATGCTGTAGAGACTAGTAATGAATACATGTTACTAGTCTCTACAGCATTGTTTAACCAGAATATATAACAAGATTTTACACTGGTTCCACAGTTATTAACTCATTTTTTAGTAATACAGTAGACCTCATAACACGGTAGATATGTTCCATGTTATATGAATTCAGTGTTGTACGAGTCACTTAAATACATGAGCCAATCATATCCCGGCACGTGTGCAGTTTAGCGGCTATGGCTATTTGAAAGGTTTTCTTCCATAAAATTAATTGATTCTAGACTAATTTGACTCGAACATTTCCAAATCACGCGTAATTTTTTGGGAATAATCCATATAAACTATGCTATAAACAAAAGATTGTAGGAATATTTAATGAGTATGCACCGTTTGAAGATGCCATTGCTTAAGCTTGTTTTTGTCACGGAGCGGCTCATCAGATGGTAGTTACGTGTTTCCTGATAAGTCATTCTTTCTGCAAAAAATTTGCTGAACTTTGGAGACATCATTAATAGAAATATAATTTTTATGGCCGTTGAATAATATTTTTTAGTAGGTCCGCTGCTTGTTTAAACTCAACGGTTGGTGCAATATCCACTATTGGTCCAGATTTGACCAATACTGTCGAGACATGAGTCGGCTGTGGCAATCTGTCTCATTCTTTTACCGTGTTACACAAGCCTCTTTTAGCTTGTTATACGAACACGATCGCAATTTTTTCATCATGGTATACAAATCCGTCTTATATGAACTCATGTTATAGGGGATCTACTGTATGTTGTTACCTTCAGCAATAGGAAATAATGACTTTGTATTTAATTTTAGAACATTGACTTTGTGAAAAATCAAAAAGCTTCTCAATAAAGATTTGATGTGTGTCTAAAATGAAGTTGTTAGTTACTTTTTCAGGTTGAAATATAGTAACTGCATTAATCTTTTTCTTTTCCTTTTTAAATTTAGATTAGATAACATTTTTTAATGAATATGAAAGAGTAAATTTTCTATAATAGCATAATTTTATTATTATTACTGATGATAGAATCACTCAAAAAGTATACTGTAAGAAGAAATACATATTGTTTGAATATTTGTGCTTTTTAAAATATAAGAATATTTTATTTGTCAAATGTTTTTGACATTATATATTTATACTAAAATAACAAGTAAAAACCACATTTAACAACTTTTCATTATTCATAATCATTAATAAAGTGGAAACATTCTAAGAATATATTATAAATGGATTTAAAATGTTTCAATTGTTATATTTGGATAATAATAGGAAAAATTCAATACAAATTTCATATATCAAATATGTTGTACATTCATACAAATACATAAAATAAATTTTGAAAATGCCAAATTTTGATTTTACAATTTACAAGATGTTATTTATAAATACAGAGTATGTTTTGTATTATATTATTATTTTATAAATGTAAATTTGATATTTAAAAATATATTTTAGGTTATCTTAATGAGGTTATTTTACATTGAAAATCTATTAAAATATTTTTACGTTTTGTAAAACTTAGAAAGGAATAAAAAAAAGAAAATTAAACTTTTTAAAATCTAGTATCTCCACGAGGATGGGTACAGTAAATATGGCATGATTGGATGCACTCAACCTAGAAGAGTTGCTGCCATGTCAGTTGCTAAGAGAGTTTCGGACGAGATGGGAGTTAGTTTAGGAGAAGAAGTGGGTTATGCAATCAGATTTGAAGATTGCACATCAGAGGTATGAAATATTTGTATTTTGTTACAATATTATATAAGTGTAAACTCTAAGTAAACATAGGTCACTCTGAAAGTTTCCATGCATGAAAAATATATTGGGTACATGGCAACATTTGTTGCATACATAACAAAGATCTTTGAAGAGTTTTGCAAGACGCAGCCGACTGTGAGGTGTTTCTCTTTTTCACCTTAACAATTTATCTGCTAGCATGACAATGACCATCAAATTTCTGAATGAGTCAAGCGTACAACTAGTGACCCATCTATCCTATAGTCCTGACATTTAGACTGTTGTGACTTTCTCTTTCCAAAAGCGGAAGAGAACATGCATGGAAAATGTTTTGGGTTACCAGAAGATGTTATCAGTGTCTACAGAGATCAGTTGGTTGCCATCTCTGAAGAAGAATGTTCTATGCAATTTCTGAAATAGTTTGATGATGTGAACAGTTACAATAAATCATTGTTTTGTACGATTATAAATTATTCTAAATTTTATTTTAGAAATACTTTACATAAATACTTGAGACTAGAATAATTTATTATAATATTTTTCAACTTACAATAGCTCATTCAATTAGAATTGAATATTAGAATATCTGATTATCTTATGAATGTTTTTAATTAAACACAAGTAAATTTTAGTTTCTGCTGTATTGAAATTTCAGAATAAGTAATGAATTATGCTTATCAGGTCAGTCTGCAAGTTTCTGCATATTTTTGTGTTACCAATATTGAAGACATTTGGACTGATCTCAGTTGATTTGAGTTTAAAGGGATTAAATCTAGATAGTGTAATATGTTTATGATCATCAAGTTATTGAATTGATTTTTATTTCTAAGAAATGAAAATGCCACAAGTTAACTACTGTACACAATCAAAGTGTTTTTAAAGCTGTATGAAAGTGGTTTGAAAGATTTAAGAGTGGGAATTGTAATATGAGGGACTCTCCATTCTCAATGTTTCATCAGTTTTAACAATGATGCTCTTTCTATTCTTGTTGAAGCAGAATCATATTTAACAGTTAAAATTTCAGAATGTCAAGAGTTTTGTTATGGTAATATTCTTTATCATCTACAATAAATTGGGAATATGTCAAAGCTTGAAAAGCACATACCACACTAATAATCCATGAGTCTTCCCATCTGTTACGTTATGTACTGGAACCTTTTCTTGAACACTGTGTTTGATACACTTTTTTATGATACATTACACATGTATCATAAAAAGGACATTGGACTAATACTAATCTGAGAATAATTGTTTCTTTGCAGAAAACGATAATAAAGTACATGACGGATGGTATTCTTCAAAGAGAATCTCTTCGAGAATCTGATTTAGATAATTACAGTGTCATCATCATGGATGAAGCTCACGAACGCTCCTTAAGTACTGATGTTTTATTTGGATTACTGAGAGAGGTTTGAGTCTTTTTTATTAAAATAATTCTTAATACAGTGGGTGATCGGTTAATGAACATAATCCGTTCCAAGACTTCATTCGCTATCCGAATTATTCGTTAACCGATTATCGCTTTACCATAGGTTTTAATGGGAATTTAATTAATTCATTCTGGAGACCCCCAAAAATAAATATATACTTTCTTACTCTGTTTATTTATATGTAATAATAAAAATACATACATGCACAGTCTTGCATTTTTATTAGTCACGTTTTTTCTATTTGAAAGGGTTAAAGAATCTGTCTAATGTCGATTGCTTTTTTTCTCTTCTTCAGGGTTTTTCGTAAGTAATTAATAGCGTTGCAATTGTAGAAATCCCCAAGCCTCAACCTGGTTTGGATGCCATTCTAAGACATCCTCCCACTTCTTCAAAGGATCTTTAATAACAGATATCGGCATTAATCCTCCTTTTCAGAAGAAAACATATATCGCAGAGTTTCTTGGTGTTCTTGGCGTTCTTCTGTTGTCAGATCCGTTTCAGATTCCATTATGAACTCTTCGATGTTCTTTATTTCTCAGATGTGATTTTTGTTACTCCTTTAGCTGCTTGAGTCTTGATAATACAGTATCTTTCTTAGGTAAGATTTAACTATGGCCTACTGTAGACCCTGTTCAAGCCATACTGCTAAGCAACATTAGGCATCTTCTGCCCACTCTACCTTTGCTATTATACTCTCATCTTATGAAAAGAAAGACGCAAAACTTAACAAGTGCCTACAAGTCTCGCGAATACATAAAAGAATTGTTTTGTCAGAAAAATAAAAGGCTGGAATTACAAGGGAGAGTTTCAAAGTTTAGAGGAATACTGATCTGTATATACTGGCTTGAGCGTCGATGTTGACATCTCCCACAGTCCGAAAAGTTTCGAATCGTTGTCCGAAGACAAGGGAAGACCAATCGGTATTCATTATTTTACATCGCTTCTTTTTGTGTTTGTTCTGTGGGGTGTTCGTTGTCCAAATATAAAAATCTTTTGTGTTTGTTATCTGATCACCCACTGTATATAATTATAAACTTTAATTGCTGATAAATGGAACTAATCTCAGTGTATTCATTAAAATTATAAATATATTGTAAACAATGTCATTTTAAAAGAATCTGTCCATAGAGATAGTCACAAGCCACATCTTTAAGCCATGCATATATTCTGAGAAATATGTCATTAAGCAAAAATCATGGTGTTTTTAGACAAATTTTATATGGCATGATGTACTTCTTATATAGGCTGTATTTAACATAATGATAGTAATATATCTAAATTCTAGCAGATGAGCCCGGCATTGTCTGGGCAAAAATTAACAACAAAGGTTAAGATTATTAGAATATTTCATACTTCTAATCCTTATGTTATAGTATTTCATTTATATTTAGAAAGATTTATTGCATTGAATGACCAATCTAACACATTTTAAACATTTTTAAAATTGTGTACAGTAGATAAATAAAGAACACTTACATAAGATAATCTTTGTAGTTATATAAATCAAACACTATATAGTTTTCGTTTAAAGTTTGTTATATTATAAAGAGTTTGGTTATTTTAGCCTACCATTGTCATGTTTATTGCGATATTCAAATGGTAAGAAATGGCATAAATTCTATGGGCAAGTAGACACCAATTGAAAATATTTTTCTTGCGATTTAAATTTAAGAAAATGTAATTGCTGATTTACATTTGATTCAAATATTTCATTTGCTCATTTACAGGTGGCACCATCTATTGGTGCTAAGTGTAAATCAGCAAATTGAATATTTTGCATTTTCTTAAATTTTTTTGCCAATAGATGATGCTATGTGTAAACTAGCAAATCAAATGGAGATAGAAATAGATTGATTTACAGAAATCCAATAGATATTTTGGGGTGGGATGATGTAAATCATCCCACCCAACACTGAGAATGCAATCCAAATTTTCACTGCCAAAATGCTGCATGACACTGCCAAAGAGATACAATGTTGAAATTGGTGTTGATTTATACAGAATGACAGAATCTATAATAATATTTAGCAATAATAATCGGTAAAATACAATATATAAAGTTATATGTTGATATGTGTATGAGTTGAAGAAAATTTTGGTAATGTCAAAGAAATTGCAAAGGAAATGGAACAGAAATGTAAGAAACATATATCATTGGAAAGAAAAATTTTAAAAGAATCAGAAAAGCCCAAAATGACTAATGCTGAATGGTGCAAATTGTAGAGATAGTAAGAAAACCAAGCATGTCAACTCTGAGAATACTTTGGGTGCGCTGCTGCCTGAACTGATAGATATTGACTTGTGATGACCAGCAAGACTTTATTCGTTTACATCTTATTTTTCTCTAATAACACAAAAGTGGATTCACACCTTAAACAGTTGGAATTATTTGTATGGACCCTGCATATATGCAGTCCAGTAGTTCATATCTACAATATTATTTTTCTGCTCAATATTAAATTATGTCAGATTGTTTTTGTTAACAGAAATAAACTTTTACATATTGAAATGTTATTAAACCTTGCTTTTAATATGCAAAATATGATATTTATGTAATTCTCATTAAGTATGTATTGTATGTATAATTGATATATTTATTTATTTATTGATTAGGTTGTTGCAAGAAGACAAGATTTGAAATTGATAGTAACCTCGGCAACTATGGATGCATCTAAGTTTGCAATGTTTTTTGGAAACGTACCTGTCTTTACTGTTCCCGGAAGAACTTTCCCAGTCGAAATATTTTTCAGTAAAAATCCTGTGGAAGATTATGTCGATGCTGCTGTTAAACAAGCGCTACAAATTCACTTACAACCTAATGCAGGTAATTTTAATACAAATGTGCAATTAAAATAATCTAATATCAATTTTTAATTTAATTTACTTATTGTTTGAAGGTGATATTTTAATATTTATGCCCGGTCAAGAAGATATAGAAGTTACTTGTGATTTAATATCAGGTAAGTTAAATTTTATTAAAGTATTTAAAATTTTATCATTTTTAGAAATTGAGAAAATTGCAATTATTTTTGCAGAACGTCTTGGAGAGATAGAAAATGCTCCACAGCTTGCAATACTTCCAATTTATTCCCAATTACCTAGTGATCTGCAAGCCAAAATATTTCAAAAAGCTCCAGATGGCGTCAGGAAGTGTGTAGTTGCGACCAACATTGCTGAAACATCTCTCACAGGTAAATCGGTTAAAATTAAATACATATAGTTAGGTAATGATATATGTATTTATAGGATGATCATAAATTTTGTGATTTGAAATACATTGTTCCTAATTAGATTTCCATTAGTGGTTTTTGTACAATACGACGGTATCTTTATGGGTTCATGTATAGGCCCTAAACTAGCTGACAGTTTTCCTAGTTTGAAAGACTGCATTGTAGGGTGGAGACCTTGGCATATGTACCTTATGGGGTATGCTAATGATTTTTCGTGAAAGTAATTCAGTGCTCACCTTAAACGAAAAATATACAACTTGGCAAAGATGTCAAATACTTTATTCAATAAAAATTGTATTCTATTAAATTGAGCAAAATTAAATTAAAAATACAATAAAGAAACAAACACTAAGTAATAAGAAAATAAAACAAATATCCTATTTTCGAGACATTATCTCTGTGATATATTTATTGACTTAAAAGTAGAGCTGAATTATTATTTATTCTTTTTGCAGATGTTATAAATTGCTCCTTTAAGTTGTATGGTTGTAAAGATCAGCTAGATAAATTTACACTTAAAGGCTAATAAAAAAATGTTAAAATATTGGTTGGCACGTGAGAGAATTTTGCATCACAGATTTGTCAATTTTGGCATGCACACTTACAAAGGTATTAATTTGTATAAAACTGTGAAAATATTAACTTGGATATAATATTTTTTGATTTATAAAATGTTTATAAATATTTATTAATTTCATTGCATAATATTAGTTTTCTTATAAATATTTATACCATTTAGAGTGTGTAGAGTACAAGTTATTTTCCATAATATTAACAACAAAAACATTTTGAAATTGTTCTTAGACTTAAAGAAGGTTTCATGTTGTTTGTATTATGGAAGCTAACTTGTCCTATATACAAATGCAAACCATCATTACCAATTTTCTTTCAATATGGACATCATTTTTATTTCAACCATCTTTATTATAAGTTTCATTTTTTTATTTTTTTTTATTTTAATGATTATTTCTAATAAATATGTCCATATATTTACAATGCACAATAGAACTGTAAACTATTTGAACTTATTACAATTTTTACAATTACAATTATTACAATTATTTACACAGTGAAATGTAGTAAAGTTTATAAGAAAATTCATTATTAGATATCTGTGTGAGTTTATATGTTTGTGCATGCATAGACAAGGAGAGTCCAATGAAAACTTTAAATAATTTTTTTTATCTTAGTATATATTTTCTATTCAATAAATCATGTCATCTTGCTATGTAGTCTCTATGGCATTCACTATAAGCTTTCCAGCACTTTGGAAGTGCATAGATAATTCTAGAAAAATCTGGTTGTGAGCATAGTTACTCTTGCACTGCCTGCTTCACCTCTTCATGGATCTTGAAAGAGTTACTTCCCATTACCTCTTTGAGAAGTCCAAAGTGTCAGAAAAGTTTCTTGCAGGCATCAACACATCTTTCAATTCTGCAGTCAGTTGACATTGCACCTACCTTGCATAAACATTCTTGAACTGCAGAAAATCATGGACAGTATGATATTCTGATCTATGACTCGTATCCATAGAGGAGGCTATTTCATTCAGTATTATGAGTAGATTTTCCTGTACCATGGCTTCAACTGCTACAGTGGCTACTGGCATTACTACTTGATGTGCCTGAACTGGCATACAATTAATGTCATTTAGAAACTTCCTAGTCTATTCATATACTTGCTACAGTAACAGATATGCATCAGCATAAGAAACTTTCATTCTTTGATGGACATCAATGAGTTTGATCCCTTCACAACTCAAAGAAATTGATAACAGAATACTGTTACTTTTTGGTGCATGTTTTAAGCAGAGCCATCTTCTTTGGCACAGTATTAATGTAGCATTCCAGCGTCATGCTGCTATCTGTCGGCCATTCTTCACACCATCACTGTTGCCAGCTTATAGAATAATTATGTGATGCTTCAACTTTTAATGTGACTCTCCCTTGTATATATGCCTTTTTTATAGTCTTTTATGTTAATTTGCTTTTTCTTTTATTATTTCCAAACAGTCACATAATACTATAATAATTATATGACAATTCTTATTTTTAATAAATAATAAAATTAGACATTTTAATATAAGAATTTATGGTAATAATGAGTTTACCTTTTATTTTTCTAGTGGATGGTATTATATTTGTTGTAGACAGTGGTTATTGTAAACTTAAGGTTTATAATCCTAGAATAGGTATGGATGCTCTTCAAGTTTATCCTATAAGTCAGGTATGTTTAATTGCTTTTATGTAGTCAATATTCATAAATTTAAAAATTAATGTAATATTTAACATTAATATGCATTTATAAAAGATTTTCCCAATTTGAAAAAATAATATATATGCAATCATTACATTCTTTCTGCATTCTTCTGAATAAATCATTATCAAGAGTGTCACAACTGAGTTAATTTTTTTCATACATCTTTCAAACAGTTTAGTGTGGTATACTGAGCACTTTGCTGCCTCTTGTGATGAATTTATGTGGATTTTGTTGAAAACTTTTGTGAATGTGTTTCACAACCACCTCTGATAAGGCTAGAGGATTTCCCTCTGCACAAACAACCAGATGAAATGACTGTTTGGTGGGTCTCTTACTGATTTCAAGTGAAGAAATATCGTGCAATGAATTATTGATTTTGCTGTATGAAATTCAGGCACATAAAACAATTTTTTTCTCTGCAATGGGAGCCATTTTTCAATAAATGTGTTCTGGTAATGATAGAATTAGAGATTAAAATGAATGACAGATGTTACCAATGAAATCTTAGGGATCTTTTCTATTTCATTCAATCACAATTTATCACAGCATATTTTGTTCAATGTATGAAAAAACTGTGGGGAACAGCTTTTATAGACATCTTGTGTTTTGCAGATATTTATTGCACAATTCATATATAATACAAATGGTTAGTTATATAAATGATATACAACGTAAAACTGTTCTTATAATTTACACTATTCTGCACATTTCTCATATCAAAATATATTATTAATAAAATAAAGTGGGAATGATTGATTTTGAAAATAGATAATTTGTATGGGTGAGTGGTTACTAAAGTTCAAACTTGACTAAAACTTTTATTAACATCTTTCAGTATAGGCGGATTAGTTATTTATTTTGTACAAGGTATTTTTATACCCTTTGTATGTAAAGAAATTATTTTATTTACTGTGTTATCCCCAAAGTCCATCAGATACAAGATACAAAAATCATTACATATATGCAACATCCAGTGCATTAATACAATTTCAATACATAAATAAAATATCTAGTATGAAAATATAATTGCAAAAACAATAATCTAAAATTTCAAATGTAATTAGTAAATACTATTCTAAATATAAAAAATTAACTAGTAAACAAGCTGTTATAAACTGTGATGACCTGATGCCATAACAATAGAAATGAATGAATGGACAATATTAAAATAAATTAATAAAACTTATAAATCCAAACAAAAAATAAAAAAATTACCTACCTGGTAAAATACAAAAATTAGAAATATGCAAGAGGTCATCACAGTCAATCAACACCAAATTAACCCCCAAGAGAGTTGAATCCAGTGCTCTTTTAATACAAAGTGACACAGCCACCTTCTGAAATACAATTTAAACATATGCTTTATAAAAAAAAGAGAAATAAAATGCAATATATTCAATATGTTAGCATAAGGAGTGATATTTGAAAAATCAACTCAAGATAACCTAATCTTTCTAAAATACTGTTTACACTTGTATGCAAACTTAGCACATACACAATATTGAAAATCTTTGATAATTTTTTATGTAATTGTCAGGTAACTGTAAAAATTTCAGAAAATGTTTAAATTGATGATGTAAATAACATACTAATATAATAATATATTACTTTGTTAATGTTTTTGTTATTGAAAAAAAATTGGGTGTGTTTATAATTTTGAAACAGACTGTATCTTGATAGTTATAATGATACACTTTACCATAAGTCACTGCCAGATTTTTTTAAACATGATTGACTTTGCCCGAGCTTTTTTTTTCTGTTTAGCGTACAATCTTAATGCCACTCTAACTTGCTCTGGATTGTCATCATTTTTATAAATATCCAAACTTTTAAGCCTATTACTCTTCCTTTTACCAAAAACTTATATTTTGTAGCTTCTTTGATTATAAAGATGAGTCTCAAACTCCCTGAAGATTGTTTACCAAGTCTATAAACTATTGTTTATCATACCAATGATTTCAATGGTATTTCAATGAATTCAATGATTTTGTTCTCTCATTATTTTCCTCGGGAGTTAAGAAAACTCCTGAAACTATAATAATATTATGTCTACTGAAACATTCAAACTGCAGAATTGCATTCGAGATAGAGGGCAGTTGTAATTCAAGTTGATTCGTAGTCTCCTTAGAAATACATGGAGTATGTCCACTGGAAACTGACATTCCCAAATGCTCCACTCGCATTTCTAAATCTACAAATGCCTCATCTAAATTCATAATTCATATCAGAAGACGATCTAAATGTGAGATCAAATTATCCAATTTATCATTCAGAGTCTGATTCATTTTAATTAGAGCTACCAGACCCTCTTTCACTTCAAAGTTACCTTCTAACAGTTGATCAACATTTAAACTACCAATACCTTCACAGAGACGAAACTTTGTTCTACACAGATCATACACCATAGAACTTCCATGCAAGAACGTCTTCCACTTTGTAGCCATAAAAAGTCTTACCTGGAAAAATAAGAAATATGCAAAACAGGTTAGCAAGAGGATGTCACAGCCAATCAATACCAAATGAACCCACTAATTCGGCAGATTAGTTTACTATAATTGATGATAGATATAATTTCTGTTATATGAATGATGATATCTTTTCTGCTACATAACAAACTATGGAAGGAATTTTGTTTTTCTAAAGTTTACTGAATTTCATTATTATATTTGTGAAATAATTAAGTTCAAAGTACTTTTATTAACAATCATTAAGATAAATATAATTAAAATTATGATAACTTACTTAGATAAAGATAGTTTGAAGTTTTGGATACTTTTGATGTTTATGAATGAATAATATGCAAAAATATGAATTTCTAAAAATTCATTTTGCACTATTTCATTATTAATTTACTTTTTATGTGATACAAACATCAAAGCACGATTTTCAATTTTAAAAACATTATCTTGAAATAAATCAAGTGAAAAATAGAATAAAATTGAAGATTAATTGGAACGCTATTGAAAATGAATTGGAACTCTATGGAAAATGATTCACAATAGGAACAATGCTATATAGTTGTATTAGCAAATCATATTTGATATCACATAAAAGCCTTGAATATAATCTAAACAAAGAAATAGTGAATTTAACTAAATCTTTCAATATACCTAAAAGATTTTTTATTCTTTAAATAAAGTTTATAGCTTCTTGGATATCATGTTTTGTGGACATAAGTCCAATCAGCAGCAGTTTAACAATCAAGTAAAATTTATGATCTCTTGAACAAGAATGATAGCTTTTTATCCTTACACATAACTTTGTACTTATTTACTTAAACTTCCTGCATTTTATATTTGCATGTTAAGCAAGCTGGTGTTTTTTTAATATTAGTACATCTTTGTCTATATTCGACAAAAATCAATTAATGCTATAAAAATTAAGGAAATTAAATAGCCATGAATAGCTTTCTGAATCCAAATTTATCAAATATTTACTGAAATAAACTTTAATAAAAACCAATTTTAACTTATATTGTAATAATGAGACAAGTGACTATGACTATACATTATTTATTGATAAATTTGTCATTTAGGCAAATGCTAATCAGAGATCAGGAAGAGCTGGAAGAACAGGTCCTGGGTACGTTGCAAGAAATATTTTATTACTAACTTTTGATTAAAAACAAATATATTATAATGCTATATTATTGATGGAATATTTAGATTCTGTTTCCGGTTATATACGGAGAGTCAGTATAAAAATGAACTTCTCAGTACGACCGTTCCAGAAATACAAAGGACAAATTTGGCAAACGTAGTACTTCTGTTAAAGTCTCTCGGTGTGCAGGATCTTTTACAGTTTCATTTTATGGATCCACCCCCACAGGTTTAAATGAAATTAATTTGATAATGTATCTTTTGTGTTAAAACTGTATTGTAACAAATGATATTTCCAGGACAACATTCTAAATTCTATGTATCAGTTATGGATTCTTGGAGCTTTGGATAACGTTGGAAGTTTAACTCCATTAGGAAGAAATATGGAAGAATTTCCATTAGATCCAGCTCTTTCAAAAATGCTTATTGTTTCTTGTGACATGCAGTGCAGTGCTGAAATATTGGTAATAATAATTAATGTTTTTCTTGGATTGTCATTTATATAAGTAAGGAGTTAATAATAGTATTTTTTCAGATTATTGTATCGATGCTCTCAGTTCCTTCCATATTTTATCATCCAAAAGGTAGAGAGGAAGATAGTGATGCAGCTAGAGAAAAATTTCAGGTTCCAGAGAGCGATCATTTAACATATTTAAATGTTTATCATCAGTGGAAAAATAACGGGTATTTATTCATTTTGTAGTTTTTTATTCTTGAATGTTTTTATATTATAATTTTATTATTTTTAGTTATTCGACGAATTGGTGCAACGAACATTTCATTCACATTAAAGCTATGAGAAAGGTAATTATATCTGATGGCTTGTTAAGGAAATTTCTACTTATGTATTTAATTTGTAAAATTTTGATTTGTTGCTACGTAGGTGCGGGAAGTACGACAACAGTTAAAAGATATTATGGAACAACAAAAGATGACCATAATCTCCTGCGGCACCGAATGGGACATTGTACGAAAATGCATATGTTCCGCTTATTTTCATCAGGCGGCAAGACTTAAAGGCATTGGCGAATACGTCAATTGCAGGACAGGAATGCCTTGCCATCTCCATCCTACGAGTGCACTATTTGGAATGGGTTTTACTCCAGACTACGTGGTATATCACGAGTTAGTGATGACTAGTAAGGTAACTACTAAAGGCATTAAATAGTACTTAGATGAAATGTAATTAGTGTAAGTGACATAATACATTTTGAAAGGAGATGCTCAGATTACAGTGGTCATTAATATAAAATTATTTGCTGAAAAGGTTATTCACTTGACATTTATTTGAGTCATTCAAAAAATATACTAACATTAAATATCATTAATTTTATCACTTCATATAGAAATTGCTTGTTTGGTTTTAAAATTGATTAAAATTTTATATTAAACATTATTTGAATTCTTACTTTTCACTGTAGTGACGTAAAGTATGCATTAATAAACAGTTGGCTTTTCAGCTTCTTAATCATTTGGAACCTTTGGAATTTAAATTAGGGAGGATTATTATGATTGTACTACTTAGAACTGATGATATAATATAAAACTTAAAATCATTTTATTCATTAAAATTCTCCATACAGACTTACTTTATTATGCACTCTTTGTAAGTTATAAGATATATTCTAAGTGAGTGTAATTTAACTGAATGCATATATTGATGATCTTCACGTTTTTCATTTATGATGCATGAGCATGTATAACACTAGTTATGTTTTGTTTAAATATCTTTAGTATTTGTGGAGTATGAGTATGGGGGTAGTAGTATGAGGAGTAATATAAAATATTTCTGAATTAAATATGTTTTTATTAATTTTTTAAAAACATTTAGATACACACTAAAATTCTACAAATTACACAATACACAGGAATTCTTAGAGCAACCTTAAAAATGGCATGCTGTGCCTGCAACTATATGCTTATGCCAGTATGAATGCCACTTGAAAATGCAGTACTGCAAAAATGGCTTCCAGTGTCTTTAAGGTTTTTGTTGATGCAGCTTCTGCATTTGGGATTTTGTTTTCCACAACAGTATTTAGTATTGAATCAAATGTAAACTAAGCAATGTAGCTGTAATCTGGCATCATTTGACATTAATTTATTTTGATAAAAACAATATTATGTAGCGTAGAAATCTGGCATTAATCTAAAGATATTTTTAGATAACAATCAAATTTAATTATAAAGCATAGCTTTGTAGTAGAAAAGAACAATTGGATGTTATGTTGAAATCGATATTTATTTATTAGTTAGTTAATTTCTTTGACGATATTATGTAACTATTTCAGGAATACATGCAATGTGTGACTGCAGTTGATGGACAATGGTTGGCCGAATTGGGTCCAATGTTCTATAGCATTAAAGAATCGACTAAGTCCCGACAGGTAGTTTATGGTTTTAACTTTTGTTTTTGTTATTTAAATTGATAAACTCAAAAATCTATAAAATTTAAAATAGGAAAGACGCAAAATGGCCAAGCAGAACCAGAACCAAATGGAAGAAGAAATGGCTCTGGCTCAAGAACAGCTGAAACAGAGAAGAGAAGAACAGAAATCTCGTGATTGCATTTCCGTCAGAAAGTAAAGCATTGTTTTTTCTATCTTTACTTTGTACTGTAAAAAAAGGTAATTAATAAAATACATTTACAGAAATCAGATTGCCACACCTGGGAGATTAGAACCGGGAACACCTCGAAGAACACCATCGAGATTTGGATTGTGAGAAATCTTGTTGATTTTAATTCATTCGCGAGTTTTAAAAACTTTTTGTAAATACAAAAAGAATTAAAAGATTTTAACGCGATTGTTGCATATTTCTTTGTACACACTTATGAATTTTCCACACGTGTTTTATAACATAAGGTATTTATCATGCTTAGAGTTTCCTTTCACAAGTATATAATTACACTTGCAGAAGGTGACTCAACTTATTATTCCACACAAATTATAAACATTAGACTTTAAATATTGCTCCTGTAAAAGAATGATGATGTGATTAAATATCTGTTAAGTAGTTTTTGAATATAGATGTACACACAAACAAATGATAAAACAATTGTTTTTAGTAACAATGACTTAACCATTCAAATGGTGGTTGGGATTGCTTGAAAGGAGGATAGCTGAACACAAATACGACACATACAACAAAAAGTTCACTTCCACCCTAGCCCAATTTGCAAGTGAACCAAATATAACGACCAAATGGGAAGAGAGGAAGATTATTATTCGTATGCTTGACAATAGCAAACTTAGAACAGTTGAAACCATTGAAATATTTGCGCAATCCCTCAAAGAGAGTTGTATCAACAGCAAAGATGCAAACTCGCTCTCCTCTGCAACAGGGGCGGACTAAGGCCTAGGCAACCTAGGCACGTGCCTAGGGCCTGTAATTTTTGGGACCCGAAAATTAGGTTTTTAATTTTTATAAACGTATCCGAATTATGCCGAATCGTTGATTGATAAAGTCGACGAGCGTTCTCGAGCTTATGCATCCACGCCCTCGAGTGTCGATGTGTGTAAATACGATCGAGCCTTTACTGTGCACGTGTTTAAAAAGTCAAACGTAGCTATTTAAAATCAGTGTCTCCTGAACGTATTGCATCTTATGTGAGTTGTGATTGAAAATTGTGAAATTAAGACTTAAGTACCTAGACTTGATTGCAAATAGATTGTTTTGGATTCATAGTTAATACTTTCTTGAACTCCTAAAATAATAATGTAAGTTATTATAAAAGTATTACATTATTTAATTAAAATAATATAAAATACTACAAATTGTGATTTTGTTTGTGATTGTGATATTGAGTAAAAATAAATTTAATTGAAGATCATTTTCTTCTTTCTTTTTACTACGTGGTCTTTAAAATGAGTTCCTATAAACATTTAAGTGGAAGTGAAAAAAGAAAACGAAAAGCAGATCGAGATAAAGTGGCAAAACAAATGAAAAGATCGTTGGACAAATTTTTAACTGTAGATGGAGAACAATTACAACAATCGTCATCATTTTCACAAGTTTCACCTGCTCAAACTCCAGAAACATCATTTGTGTCCGAAACTATTCTGCAAAAAGACCAGCAGGAAAAACCAAGCAATTCCGTTTGTGAAGATGAAACAAAAGGAGAAAATATAAATTTAAAATCATCTCAAAGTAATGATGAAACTAAGAGTTTTGTAAACGATATTGCATTATGGCCAGAATACTTAACAGACGCCATGCGAGAGTATTATATAAAAAATCCACCAAAATCAATAAATGGATCTTTGGAATCATCTTCTATTCGATGCAACGAAGGGTCAAAACAAATCACAAGAAAATTAACTATTGCCTCCTTCTTCAGAACAATTAATAGCGGGGAAAAAGTTAAAAGAGATTGGTTGGCTTATACTGAAACCAACAACTTATTGTACTGTTACGTCTGTAAATTATTTTCCAAGCAAACAACGCTAATGACAAAAGGGACGAATGATTGGAAAAATGTACATAAAAAATTGTCAGAGCATGAAAACTCCAGTGACCACATTAACTCCATTTTAATTTTTATAACAAGATCTAAAATTACCGGACGCATTGACACTGAACTGGAAAAACAAATTATAAATGAAAAAAAATATTGGAGGGAAGTACTTAAACGTGTGGTAGCGACAATCAAATTTATTTCTTCATACTCTTTAGCGTAAAAATGAAGTGTTTTTCAGTGAAAATAATGGTAATTATATAGGTGCTTTGGAATATTTATCCGAGTTCGATCCATTTTTGCGGGAACACATGAAAAAATATGCAAACTGCGGCACCGGTACTATAAACTATTTGTCGTCTACAATATGTGATGAATTTATTTCTATTATATCGAAAGATTTACAACTCACAATAGTGAACGAAATAAAGGAAGCCAAATTTTACTCTCTAATTATTGATTCAACACCTGATATATCTCACGTAGATCAGCTGACCGTCATTATTCGCTATGTTCTTCCAAGTGGTATAAAAGAAAGATTTTTGGGATTTCTACCTATATTTTCTCATACTGGTGAAAACTTGGAGAAAGTTATTTTAGAATTTTTAAATAATATAGATTTAGACATCACTAACTGTCGGGGACAGAGTTATGATAATGCGTTTAATATGTCAGGTAAATATAAGGGACTCCAATCCAGAATAAAACAATATATTTTTTCTGCCCATTTTATACCATGCGCAAATCATTCATTAAATTTAATTGGAAACGCTGCTGCCGAAAGTTGCATGGAAATGACCACTTTTTTCAATATCGTTCAGGAATTGTACGTATTTTTTTCAAGTTCTACACATAGGTGGAATGCATTACAAAAATTTTGTAAGAGCAAACACTTGAGTATTAAACCTATTTGTGACACCAGGTGGTCTGCTCGTTCCGATGCTGTGAAATCCTTAAAGGAAAATTATGAAGAAATTAAACATTGTTTACGTCATTTTTCCTCAAACAAAGATGAAAAACCATTAACAAGGTCCGAAGCTGCCGATTTACATAAAAAACTTGATACATTTGAGTATGTACTGTTACTTACTATATGGGAAAAGATTTTAGAGAGAATAGATGCTTCAAACAAGACTCTTCAACAAAAAGACGAATCCCTAAATATAGCAGTTTTACTATATGATTCATTGATAGATTTCATACAAACTATTAGAGATGATTTTGACAATTTAGAAAAAGTTAAAGATATTGCATATACTAATGATAAAAAACGGCAGAAAATACGAAAACTATTTCACGATGAAATTCCAGAACATGAAATAAGATTCAGTGGCAAAGAACATTTTAAAGTTAATATTTTTTTGTTGTTGTATGCGATTCTTTAATTAGCAACATTAAAAAAAGATCTGAGGGATATAAAACTATTAACAATAAATTCAAAACAATTTTTCATGATAGTGATGTTAGTGACTCTTCAATAGAGGAATTAAAATGTTATGAACAAGATTTAAACCTAACAGAACTGAAAAATGAAGTATTACAATTTAAGACTTTTATAAGTAAAAAAAATATTATGTCGCCTGTATCCATGTAGTCATTTATTCAGGAAAATAATATTATTGCAACATTCCCTAATTTAAACATAGTTCTCAGAATTTATTTAACACTTCCAATAAGCAATGCAAGCGGTGAAAGGTCATTCTCAGTAATGGCCAGAATAAAAAATTTTTTAAGATCCACATTAGGCCGACAAAAATTAAATAGTTTATCATTACTTTATATAGAAAAAGAGTTATTAAATAATTCTATAAATTATGACAAACTAATTGACGAGTTTGCAGAATTAAAAGTGAGAAAAAAGGCAATATAACCAATCAATCTGGGTATATTTCTTTAAGTATTATTGTTTGTTTTAATAAATTATGTTTGTTTGTTTGTTTTAATAAATTATGTTTATTTAATTTTTGTACATGTATATTATTTTTTTCCTTTTTTTTTCTTGGAATCCGATAATTAAATAGAACTACATACTATATGCTTTAAAACCAAACTACCAAACACAAAGTATGTGTCATGACTGAAAAATAGNTAAATTATGTTTATTTAATTTTTGTACATGTATATTATTTTTTTCCTTTTTTTTTCTTGGAATCCGATAATTAAATAGAACTACATACTATATGCTTTAAAACCAAACTACCAAACACAAAGTATGTGTCATGACTGAAAAATAGACCCGGCATTACAATGTTGCCTAGGGCCCGCTTTAGCCTTAGTCCGCCACTGCTCTGCAAGGAAATCAATCTTCGATAACTCCTTAAACTAAATAGACCAACCCACCCTCACCGAACCTCTTGCAACCATTAGCGCGTTTATTTTCCAATTCTGCTTTCCAAGCGTAGCACCTTTCCCATCTATGGTCGTTCGCACGCCTTGTCTTATTGTATCATAGGTTAATTAACGACGTCGACATCGTCTATACTCCGTTATCAACTACGACGTCACTTCCTGGTAACCTCCTATCTAGGTAGGCAAGCCCGTTCACAGTCTCTAGTGCATCATCTTTACTTAGCGCGTGTATTTTCCAATTTTATTTTCCCCAACTCTAGCAATTATCCCATCAAGAACTGTCCGCACACCTTACATTTTATATCAAAAGAAAATTTAACGTCCTCAGTATCGTCTGAACCTTATCATCAACGATGACGTCACTGGTAAGACGAAACCTATGTAAACACTGGCACGGTTTGAATATCTACCAACCGACCACAGTGTATCTGAAGAAGGCCGAAAACGTCTGTACTCAGTGTGTAAACGGCTCTGTACTCACTTGTTTATAAGTGAGAAAGGTTTTTTCTTAGTCATTTTAACATTTTCAGTTTTGCTAACTAGAAAAATGCAAATTTGAATGGATTGCTGCCACCTTTTGCAACATCGTACCGCCATTCCCTGCTTGTCAGTATATTATTTGTATATTGTGACTAGGAATTGTTTTCTCTCAAGCTTTTCGGATTCTGGAGAGTCAGGAATTGCCAAGTTGGTAAAATTTTTCCTCGAGTATCTCGAGATGTAATTAATCAGTCTTTTGTAAATATAAAGAAAATGAAGAAGAAAAAAACCATACAAAGTATTATTAGAAGATGTAAGATTGAAGTATAGGTAAATACAATTAATTTTTAATATATTAAAAAATGTCTTATATTTACAAAAATTTTTATTAAAATAAATCGGTAGACTGTATTAAAAGTTATCTGATAAAATTCCTTTGTTTTGACACAAAAATTCCAGAAATTTTCTTTCATTTTGTGTCAGTGTCCAATAAAAACACTCAAAGATAGAGCATATTTGA